GCACAGAGGCGTCTGCGGAGGTCGTGCGGGGAGCTGCCCGCTCTGTGCCACCGCTGGACACTGGATGCTGGGCCCTGGACGCTGGACGCCTGCTCCACTGAAGTTAATAATAAGCGATCATTCCCACGTATCCGCTCGTTCCGGGTAGCAGGCATTTCGCACAAACAACAAACTTCTACAAGAAGGGCTCGAAGACAGCCAGGGTGACTTTCTGGGGGGACCCCCACCGTGGCGGCTCCATGGGAGGGGCCATTCCCAGCACCCACTGGCGCCCAGCGGAATGTCAGGAGCAGGTTGCGCGTCACCTGGCCCCTCCCTACCTGCTGTTCTTGAGGTCGGTTTGGGCCCGAACCTGGGGAACCTAGAGGGACAGAGCGGGCCCTTCCTCCCCGCATCCGGGCTCAGGCCCATCCCGAAGCTGTGGCGTGGGGGGTCCTCAGGCCTCGCAGAGGGGAGGAGGCAGCCGGTTCCCGGTGGGCGTGGCCGCAGGTCCCCGCGGGCAGAACTGCGGAGGGGGATGCGGGTGTCCACAAACGGGCGGGGCGCGGGGCGAAGGGGGCGCAGGGGGGGGGGCGATGGGGGAGCGCGCGGGGCGAGGGGGGCGCGTGAGGCAGGAGGGGCGCTCGGGGCAAGGGGGGCGCGCGGGGCGAGAGGGGGCGTGCAGGATGGGGGGCGGGGCGCTGAGCGCACCCCGAAGAGAGAGGGTGCAGATGGGCTCTGAGCGGAAAGGCCGGGAAAGGGGCGCAAGGAAACGCAACACAGTGCGCACAGGCTCGGAGGTGGCGTGGACGAGGCGGGAGAAGCTGAGGTCACGAGCAGCAGAGGAGAGAAGGGTGGAGGCCAGGTGAGGAGGGACTGGGGCGGCTCGCTCAGGAGTTAAAATCTTGAGGGATTCAGGGTTTTATGTGAATTTTTTCACACATATATTTTATTTTATATTTTTAATTAAAATTCCATGTACCATGTACTGTATACAAAAGCATACATGAAGCACACGCAGCGATGACACATGATAACACAATGTCTGCCCACGAATACTGCATCCCAGGTGAGGACGGGAAGTCTGGGCGCAGATGCCCCTCCCGCACCCGCCTCTCACGAAGGCCAGCAGAGCCGCCCCGCCCCATCGTTTGGTCCCGTGTTGGAGTCGCCCTTTTGGAACCCCGCCTGGGCCTCCCTTATCGGCCGGCGCCCGATCTGTCTGCAGGGTCCGTGGATTCTTCTCGCCGAGCGTTTCTCCTGATTATCCACCTTCTGTCCAGGAAGCTGCAAACTGGTCCCTGGAGAACGAAGGTCGGTGAGTGTTTGCAGGGACTCAGAAAAGACTCAGACAGAAGAAAAGAGCAGAGATGTAAACCGGTCAGTTTCTCTCTGCATCGGTCCCTGGAGAGGCCCGTTCAAGACCAGGGACTGTGAGAGAGGCCACCGGGTCACAGAATGGGGGAGCGGGCACCATGAGATCCCTGGCCGCGGGTACGCTCCCCAGGCTGTGGGTTGGCAACTGATCACTTGTCACCTGTGCCCGGTTAGAACAGTTCGTGACTAGTCTGTGGCTTGGGCCACAATCCCACCTCTGCTGGGGGGGACAGAGGAGGCGGCCGAGACTGGCAGGGGCCCGGCACCATCCCTGTTACCGTCACTCGTTCTTGAACGACATTTTGAGCACTGGCTCTGTGTCAGGCGTCTGCGCAGCACTGAGGGTGTGAGACCCAGTCTGCCCTCATGTTTGGAGAGCAGGGGAGACAAACATTAAACAAGACGTCAACATACTGTGACGAGATCTGATAAGTGCTCTGACCGAAGGAAAGGGAGTGGGAGTGGGAGTGGGGGCGCCAGCTTGGGGAAGAGGGGGATCCCCCTGCAGGTGTCAGGGTCATTGAGAGCCTGGACCTCCCTGACGAGCCCCCTCACTCGGGCTCAGGACGGAAGATTTGCCCTCCCCCAGCCCAGACAGACAAACAGACACGAAGGCTCTCTCTTACCCTGGAACCTCGGTTGTTCAACAAGTTTTGGGGGGCGCTAGAAGCCCCTCCGAGCTGCCAAAGTCCCCAGTCACCTCCAAAGGGAAACGGAATGTGCCATCGTCCTTCTTTCTGCTACCACCCCCTCCCGCCCCCTGTCCCCCTCCACTGCAGGCTGTCACCAGCCCCAGGCCTGGCTGGGCACTAGCCTTGGGGTTTAGAAAGTGAACAGTTACAGCTACTGTTGAATTGCATCCCCTTAGACCAGTGGTTCTCAACCTTCTGGCCCTTTAAATACAGTTCCTCATGTTGTGACCCAACCATAAAATTATTTTCGCTGCTACTTCATAACTGTATTGTTGCTACTGTTCTGAATCATAATGTAAATATCTGATATGCAGGATGGTCTTAGGCGACCCCTGTGAAAGGGTCGTTCGACCGCCAAAGGGGTCGCGACACACAGGTTGAGAACCACTGCCTTAGCCAAAGAGGTTAGGGCACAAGCACACAGACCGAGGGACAGCCATCTGCAATCCGAGGAGAGAGGCCTCAGGGAAAAGGACCCTGCCTCACCGTGACCTTGGACTTCCCGCCCTCAGAACGGTGAGACATTCAATGTCTGATGTTTAATGTCTGTAACAGCCCGAGCGAGTGAACACGTCCTCCTGGTTGATTGACAGACAGGAGCTGAGGCTGGGGTGGGAAGGAGGGAGATGGTGCACTTGCCTCAGGCTGGGAGGCTGGGAACAGGGCCCAGATCTGATGCCCAGGGTCGCTGCCCAGCTGGTTTTTCCACCTTTGCTCCCCCCCCATCCCCCGTCTGCATATAGACTTTTCTACCTGAACACACCTCGGATCGAATTTCCCCACACAAAGCAGCCTGGCCCCACCCACTCAGAAAGATGTGAACACACGTCCTGGCTCCACACTCCCAGCCCTGCCCGTGAGGACCGGTCAGTGCTTCTCACACCTCAGTGTGCGTCAGAGTCACCTGGGCCCTGAGATCCCCCCTCACCGTGTGCATTTCTTTATGTATTTGGGTGCTCCTGTATTGGGTGCATATATGTTTATCAGGGTTATATCTTCTTGTTGTATTGATCCCTTTAGTATTATGAAGTGGCCTTCCTTACCTCCTGTTATGGCCTTCACGTTGAGGTCTATTTTGTTCGATATAAATATTGCTACCCCAGCCTTTTTTTCATTTCCATTTGCCTGAAAGATATTTTTCCATCCCTTCACTTTCAGTCTGTGTGAGTCCCTTCTTCTGAGGTGGGTCTCTTGTAGACAGCAAATGTATGGGTCATGTTTTTTTTATCCATTCAGCCACTCGATGTCTTTTGGTTGGAGCATTTAGTCCGTTTACGTTTAAAGTTATTATTGAAAGGTACTTGTTTGTAGCCATTTCTTTTTGTGTGTGGCTGTTTTCTTCCTGAGCTTTTTATTTCTTCTTTTTACACCAGTCCCTTTAGCATTTCTTGCATTGCTGGCTTGGTGGTGATAAACTCCCTTAGCCTTTTTTTTGTCTGTGAAGCTTCTTATTTCCCCTTCAATTCTGAATGATAGCCTTGCTGGATAGAGTATTCTTGGATTCAGTCCTTTGCTTTGCATCACTTTGTAAATTCTGTCCATTCTTTTCTGGCCTGATGTGTTTCTGTTGAGAAATCATTTGATAATCTAATGGGAGATCCCTTGAATGTAACTTTCTGTCTCTCTCTTGCAGCCTTTAAGATTCTCTCTTTGTCCTGAACATTTGCCATGGTAATTATGATGTGTCTTGGTGTGGGTCTTTTCGGGTTCATCTTGTTTGGGACTCTCTGTGCTTGTGTGATTTTTTTCTTCCCCACCTCAGGGAAGTTTTCTGATATTATTTCTTCAAATAGGTTTTCTAATCCTTGTTCCTCTTTCTGTTGTTCTGGCACCCCTATTATTTGTATGTTGTTTCGTTTCATGTTGTCCCATAGCTCCCTTAGGCTCTCCTCCTGTCTTTTAATTTTTTTCTCCAGTTGCTGTTCAGTTTGGGTGTGTTTTGTTTCACTGTCTTCTAATTCGCTAATTCGGTCCTCCGCTTCTCCTAGTCTACTGTTGAAACTTTCTATGGTGTTTTTTATTGCAGCTATGTCACTCTTCATTTCTTCTTGGTTCTTACATAATTTATTGATTTTTTTCATCTGTTTCTTCTTGCTTCTTGCTTAAGTTGTTGATTTTTTCCTCCATCTGGTTTATGCATTCTAGGACCCTTAATCTGAATTCTTTTTCTGTCATGTTGCATGCCTCTGTTTCACTTAATTGCTTTTCTGGCGAGTCCTCCTTTTCTTTCCTTTGGGGGTTTCTTTGTCTACCCATGTTTGATCTCACCGCCATATCTAGATGTTGAGTCGTTCAGTGGCTGCTCCTTGGGTGGCAGTGGCTCCTCGGGCTGTGGTTGCTCCTCGGGCGGTTGTGGTAGCAGCTGCTCCTCAGTTGGTAGCAGCTCCTCTGGTGGGTGCTGTTCACAGCTGTGGTGGCTCCTCTGGCTGGTGGGGGGAGGCTTCACACACAGCGGCTGTTCCTCAGACAGAGGGTGTGGTCACCGTGTGCATTTCTAACAAGCTTTTAGCTGCTGCTGATGCTGCTGCTGATGCCGGTGCCGTCCTTGCCTGGCAGCTGAGATGCCTTCCCCTCCCCCACAGCCCATCCACTCGCCCTCCTTCAACATAGCCCTGGCCCTTCCCCGGCACCCGCTGCACTTGAGCCTCTGCCCAGCCCGGTGCGGCCATGAATTCCCTGCTGCCAAGTCTGACACTGGGCAGATCCTGGGACCTCCCAACTCAGGGTAAAGGTGAACAGCTGTGCTGCTTTTTACAGGGAAAGCCTTGCTGGGATTCAAACCGTAACTGGACGCCACTGTCTAAAGAAGCGGTTCTCAACCTGCGGGTTGCGATCCCTTTGGCGGTTGAACGACCCTTTCACAGGGGTCGCCTAAGACCATCCTGCATATTAGATATTTACATTACGATTCATAACAGTAGCAACATTACAGTTATGAAGTAGCAACGAAGATAATTTTATGGTTGGGTCACAACATGAGGAACTGTATTTAAAGGGCCAGAAGGTTGAGAACCACTGTTCTAAAGGGTCATGGGGGAGCTTGATGAAAATGCAGGTGTCTGAGTGCACCCCCAGACACAGACCTCCCCAGGAAACACACACACACACACACACACACACACGGCTGTGGTCGCCCTTCTACATACAGACGACCAGAGGGACATGGCTTGTCCCGGGGCACCCAGCATGTAGCTCAGTGGCTGAGCGAGAACCCAGGTCCCCTTGGGCGTGTTGTGCCTTTCACTGTGCGACGCTGCCTTTTCTGAACTTGAAGGGGCCCTCCTCCCTTCCTGCCCCTTCCTCCCCCCCTCCCCTACTTTCTTGGGGAACCAGCTGGGCCCTGGCATTTCCAGCCAATGCTGAAATGGAGCCCCAGGGAACGATACAACTTACAAAACTGAGAAAAATGGAGAAAAGGGCAAGGGCACGAGGGAGAGAGGAGAACCTCTTGTGGGGAGTACGGGAGGGGAGGAGGGAATGGGAAGCCAGGCCAAGGTGTCCTGGAAGCTGGGGAGCTGGGGGCGGGGCCACCAGCCTGCCTCTGACCCGGGAGGGCTCAGGGGGCAGGCCTGGAAACCACAACCTCCCTGGCCCCCAGGAGCCAGCCTCTGCCCCTTCACCCCGCTCTGCTCTGTGACAGCTGGCCCGGTGCTGCAGGCCCAGAGGGGCAGCCGGTCAGTTGGTTGGTGAGTTAGTGTGAGTTTCCTACCCGGACAGCCCAGTCCAGCTGGTGGGGCTGGGGCGCGGGTGTGGCACCAGGAGTGGGTGGCCCATGCCCTCCCAGGCCAGCTCCCAGCAGCGTTAGGACCAGCAGCTGGACACGCTGCCCCAGGGCTTAGGATCCCAGCTGGGAAGGTGAGTCAGCCAGCGGGCCGGGCTCCTGGAATCGGGACCAGCGGCTCCTGTTGGAGGCGCCCCACCACCCATGTCACCGGCAGAAAAACTGGACCCGCTTCCTGACACCTTCATCCTGCAGCCGCCTGTCTTCCACCCGGTGAGCAGCCGTCTCCCATCCGGCTGGGCCGCCTCCAGGTGGTGGGAGGGAGGGACGCAGCCCGCAGCTGGCCGGCGGCTTCCCCTGCACCTGCCCTCCAGCTCCGGAAGGTCCTCCTGAGCTGAGCACAGTGCCGGCCAGCTGTTCCCATTTGGGTGTGAGTGACTGTTGAGCTTGCATTTAAAAAGCAGTAGAGCTGTGAGTAGGAGCATCTCGGGGAGTGGGTGACCAGGAGGGCCTGGGAGAGTGAGTAGTATCATTGGGGGGACTTTGGGGGGACCCTGAGCACCTGGCAGGGAGTCCTAAGGGATGGGGCGGGCTTCCTGGCTGCCTCCTCCCGCTGTGTCCCCAAGGATTTGCGGGAGCCTGGCCGTGCTGTGGAAGGCTGAGCCCGCAGGCGACGGCACCCTCCACTGGGGGGCAGCACCGAGCCCTTTCTCTTCACGTGGCCTCTTCTCTCACAAGAGCCGCAGCAGCTGTTACTCACAGGCCAAGCCTGGAGCCTGGGGAGTGGAGGGACGTGGAGCTCAGCCCAGCCGAGCTGTGGGTGCTCTGGCTTCCAGACCCCCCACATCTCTCCAGGCGCTAGTAACAGGGGGAAGCCGCTGCCCCCCGCTACAGCCCCTCCTTGCTTTCCAGCTGCAGCTCCCACCCGGCGGGCAGAGCCGTGGGGTCTGGGCTCCATCCGGGTCAGCGGCCGCCAGCCGGTAGTCCGTGAGGTCCGGAAGGCTGGCGACCCCTGGTCCAGGTGGTTGGGGCTCCTGGAGGCTGCTGGGGGTGGGGAGACCGTGTGAAGGCTGGTCCTGTGACCCTGCCCGCTGTGTACCTGCCGCAGACACCTGTTCAGAGCCCACGCTGTGCCAAGCCGGGCACTGTGCCTACAGAAGGGAGAGGCGGGGCTGCGGCTTTGAGGGCCTTGTGCCTCCCATGGCCAGCCAGCCACATGGCGCCGTGAGCCAGCCGGCAAGGGCCACGCTCGCCAAACCAGCCTAGTGTTCTGGAGCATGGGGAGGGGAGAAACAATCCAGACACTAAAGGGTTGGTGCTTGAGAAGGTGCCAGAGAAACTGTCAGAGATGTCAGGAGCCTCGAAGGTCAAGGTCCCGGGGCACAGGGAGAGGGAGGAGGCAGCCCGGAGAAGGCAGGGAGCTGTGAAGAGTGCGCTGTGTTTTATGGCTGCCAGGCAGCTTCGAGGCCATTGTCAGGTACCTGTCCAGGCGTCCAGATCAGGGGCCACGCTCAGGTCCCCACCTGTCCATCCTCCTGTCTCCCAGGTCCCAGGCTCTGACCAGGGAACAGTCCTCAGGTAGCCTCACTAGGCGACTCCTGGAGGCCAGGGTGCAAGCAGTGGGCAGCGGGCCTCCCTGGGGCACTGCTGCGCCCTAGGGGCTGGGGGAGGGGCTGGGCCTACGCTGGGGGCGTGGATGGGGGCAGAGGAGCTGAATTTGGCTTCTCCAGGGCAGTGTGGCTTCCACAGGTGGAGGTCCAGGAAAGGGGAGTGGGTAGAAGACCACATTCCAGAGGAAACTAATTCCCCCAGCTGCTTGGGGCGGGAGACCCGAATTTTCTCGTTCTTCTCCCTTCCCCACCCGTGGGATATGGGGTCCCTCGGCCTCTTCTCCAACCACGTCAGGGCGGGTTTCTCCCCTCGTCCAGGTGGTTCCTTATGTCACAACCATTTTCGGCGGCTTACGCGCCGGCAAGATGGTCATGCTGCAGGGCGAGGTCCCGCTAGATGCACGCAGGTAGGGGTGCCCCCCGGGGTGCGGGCTCAGCCCCGGAGGATGGAGGGGGGGCTCTTCTCTGCCTTCGGGGCCTCCGGGGCCGCTGAGCGGAGTGCCCTTCGGAGCCTCGCCGCCCACAGGTTCCAAGTGGACTTCCAGTGCGGCTGCAGCCTGCACCCCCCGCCCGACATCGCCATCCACTTCAACCCTCGCTTCCACACCACCCAGCCGCACGCCATCTGCAACACCCTGCAGGCCGGGCGCTGGCAGGCCGAGGCCCGGTGGCCCCGCCTGGCCCTGCGCCGGGGAGCCAGCTTCCGCATCCTCTTCCTCTTTGGACACGAGGACATGAAGGTGAGTGCGTGGGCACCGGGCCCTAGAACGGGCGTCCTTCCGTCCGTCCTTCCTCTGCGGAGTCCCCCACGGCACTGTGTTCAAGGGGATGGGGGAGGGGAGGTACCCAGAGGACCAAGGAGCTGCCAAGCCCGGCTCCAAGTGCCCGGGCCCGGAGCCTGATGCGAGCTGTGCTGAGGTGGCCCCGCGCCTGCAGGTGAGCGTGAACGGCCGGCACTTCCTCCACTACCGCTACCGGCTCCCGCTGTCCCGCGTGGACACCCTGGGCATATTCGGGGACATCCTGGTGAAGGCTGTTGGATTCCTGAACATCAACGTAAGTTCCCGTGGGGCCAGGGCGGGCGTGGCAGTGGCCTCTGACCTCCTGGGACCCCCGCCCGCCCCAGACAAGCCCTGTCGCAGCAGCTGTGACCAAGGTGGAGGGGTTCGCGGAGGTGCCGGGCATGAGTGAGGTGAGGGCAGGAGAAGGTGACGACAGGAGGGGCCCGGGAGCCGGGGACGGAAGTCTGCGCTGGGCATGGGGTCTGGTCAACACGGGGAGTGGTGGCTGGAAGGCGAGTCACTTGGAGAGGAGGGGCCGAGGGGCCCAGACATAGCGGCTGGCAGTGTCACGCCCCCGAGGGGCAGATTAAAAGGCAGGTTTCTCGGGGCCAAGACCAGAGATTCTGATTCCAAGTCTGAGATGGAGCCCAGGAACCCGCAAGGCCAGCTCTGAGCACCACTGTCCAGGCCTGTGGGCAGCGCTCAAGGCCCCCATCCGGGCCCAGCATCTGCCCAAGCAGGCACAGCAGCCAGATGGCCCCGGGGCGGGCAGCAGCCCTGAACCCCGGGGTTGCCTTTTCTCTTTCCCAACAGCCGTTCCCAGAGGGCAGCAGCGAGTATCCAGTTGGACACGTGAGTCTCTTGGGAGCAAGGTGGGCCCTTGTCCCAGACACAGGAGCCGAGCCCCCATTTTCCCTTCCCCACGTGACCTGCCCCTCACCTGCTGGGCTGTGGTCCCCTGGCACAGGCCCAGCTGTTCCTCCCTTGCTGCATGGTTGCCATGGATACGACTAGCTCTGCCTTGGTCCCTGGAGAGCCTGGCCTGGCCTGGCCCAGCGCCCAGCTCCTCTCCTGGGCCAGCTTGGGAGGAGGATGGGGGAGGGGTGCCCTGAACGGGAAGGCCCCGCATTCATAGCAGAAGGTCCCTGTAGATGGGAACTTCCGATTCCCACAGCCCACGAGGGAGGTGGCTGGGCTGGGCTGGCCTGCAGGGCGGCGGGGGAGGAGGCGCAGGTATTGCCATGGCCGCCTGGTGAGTGAGGGACAGACCCTCTGCCCCGTTTCCAGAGCTGGCATCTGTCTGAATTCACGAGGGTCCCACCGGGGCCCCACTCACTCACCTGTACTGTCTCTGAGACAAACCCCACTGACCCCCCGTTTTTCACGATAATGTCCAGAGTCTCCCTTTCACTGAGCAAACCCCGCCTGACCTCCACGTCCCTCTTCTTTCCTTGACAGCCCTTCCTGCTGGGGAGCCCCAGGATGGTGAGTGAGCGCCCCCAGCCCTCACCTGCCCCTCAGGGGTAGGAGGCCCCCACCTGGCGGGAAATGCCGCCCCCTCCCCTGTCCCCCCCAGGGTTCTCCCTCCCTCCAGAGAGAAGTGCAGGTGTGGGCAGTGGCAGGCTGCTCCGGCTCCCCTTGACCTTGACTTTATTCTGCTCACGGTTATGGTTACTGGATCCTCTCCAGGCCGGGCTCTAGGACAGAGGGACAAGCCAGTCCCAGGCCCCCAGCTCACAGGCTGGTGGGAGGCTGCCCAAGGAACGGGCCGTTACAGTTTGGGGTGCGGGATGGGGGGCATAGTGGTGCCCGCAGCACAGTGGCAGCGAGCTCAGCCTGGAAAGGCAGGGAGAGGCCAGGCCTGCAGAGGGTGTCTGATAACGGGCAGAGCCGAGTCCCCCCACCTGCAGGCCTCGAGGCAGAGACTTACCTGCTCCAGGGCCCCCCGCCCCTGAGGGTGCCCCCCAAAGTGCTCCTGGGGGAAGCTGCCCTCCCTGAGCCCCTTGTGAGTCCCCTCAGTCACCTCCCATGTTCCTTCAGGAGGTGCCCTGCTCACGCCCCCTTCCCCGGGGTCTCTGGCCGGGACAGGTCATCGTGCTGCGGGGGCTGGTCTTGCCGGAGCCCAAGGAGTAAGTACAGGACGGAGGAGGGAGGGCATCCCTGCGCCAGGCCAGGCACCAGCTTTACACGCATTTGCTTTAGTCTCCAAAGCCGCCATTTAACCCCGTTTTACAGACGAGCGGACAGAGGAGTCAGCTGGTCAGGGTGGCAGGGCTTGCACAAGGAGGCTGGGACTGGGGCCAGGACCCAGCTGCCTTCGCCGCCCCAGCAGCCCCAGTTCTGGGAGTATCTTCCAGGCCGCTCATCGCAGGCCCTGCCTGGGGGCTCGGGACAGGCCCTGGAGAGGCGCGGGCTGAGACCCCAGAGGATGCGACCTCCAGCGGCGGCGACACAGCAGGTGTAGGAAACACAGCGGGCGGCCCCAGAGAGGAGGCCTGGCGCCGGGAGTGGGGACCTGGAGGGACACGTAGCTGCCTAACTGCTCCCCCTGGGGGCACTCGTGCTCCATCCCCAACCCTGCCTCCTCGTTTCCTGTCCCTGGAATCGCATTGGATTCCCTGGTTTTCGGGCCACGCTGCCTCCTGGGTTTGACTCATAGTTACTACCTCTGCCACTTCAAGGCATTCCTTTCCCTTTCTAGCCTCAGCTTCTGTGCCTATGAAAGGGGTAATAACAGGGCTGACTTCAGGGCGGTGTGAAGGCTCCTAATTGTGCCAGGCACAGCTGGTGTTCCACGGTGCTGCTGCGTATCCGATTTCCCGAGGAGGAGGGGCGGGGGAGTGGGGGGACCGCCTCGGTGCTCCCACTCTCCTGCTGGCTCTGTGACTGTGTTTGAGGTCACTAACCTCACTCAACCCTGCCCTCCTGCTCCAGCCCTGGACAGCACGGACCTCAGAGCCAGGCTGGGCTGGGCTGGGCTCCTGATTTTGCCTCCGACACCGGGTGGCCTGGGCAGGTCCCACACCTCTGTGTCAGAGGTCCCAAGTTTCCCACCAGGAAAAAAAAGAGAAATAATTCCAACCATATAGGGAATGGTTCCCAGGGATAAAGAACACCCTCCCTGTCCCCCCAAAACGTGGAGGCCTGAGACCAGGCTCCTAGTCTAGCTCCGAGTCCCGCGGTTATGAGTGACAGGGCGAGTGATTTAGCTGCTCTGTCGCCAGGCCATGAATCCACAGGCCCTCTGAGGCCTGACAGGTGGCAGAAGCAGGCTGGGGAGCGGGGGAGTGGAGAGCATGTGTCCAGAGACCGTGCATGACAGATCAGGTCATTCTGAAGGAGAAGCTGGGAGCCATCTCTCTCTCTTTTTTTTTTAAAATATATTTTATTGATTTTTTTACAGAGAGGAAGGGAGAGGGACAGAGACTTAGAAACATCGATGAGAGAGAAACATCCATCAGCTGCCTCCTGCACATCTCCCACTGGGGATGTGCCCGCAACCGAGGTACATGCCCTTGACCGGAATCGAACCCGGGACCCCTCAGTCCGCAGGCCGACGCTCTATCCACTGAGCCAAACCGGTCAGGGCGTGGGAGCCATCTCTTACACAAACGCTCGCAGCTGCGGGACAGGGAATGACTGGAGAGTGGAAGGGTAGCGCGGACCAGCCAGAGCACTTGTACAGGCCGCCGGGGCCGGGGCCTCCCACACCCAGGCTCAACACAGTGGCTGCAGGCAACGCCGCCACGGCCGCTGTCGCTGGTTTTCGGAAAGCTGCTGTGGCTGGCCTGGGACAAACGGGGCGAGCATGTGAGAGCGCGGGCCTCATGTGCCCTGGAAGGGTGTCCTCCTCCTCTGACCCATCCCCCAAGCACTGAGGATCTGGGGGTTCGGCGGCAGCCTCAGAGAGCTCCCCCAGAGCTCCCCGGGCCTCCGGAGGGAGTCAGTACGCATTGGCTGTGCTGGGCAGGGCTGAAGGGGGACACGGGGGTGGGGGGGCTGGCCAGCTCCCGGCCACTGCGGCTGGAGGCTCCCTGCAGGCCCCTCTCCAGGGTCCCCGCCTTCAAGCTTCTGCCCGGCGTCGAGTCCTTGCCGTCCTCTTCCCAAAGCTGCACATGGATGGAGCGTCCGCCAGAACAGGTTCCAGAAGGGATTCCCTGAAAGGCCCCCCAGGCAGGCCCTTCCCGGGCTCCATGCCCTCTGAGCCCGAGGCCCCTCTCCACTCCCAGCCACTTCCTGCCGAGGGCTCCCAACAGTGTCGGGCTGCTGTTTCAAAGAAAGTGACTTTGGGACAGAACCTGGCTGTCCTGACAGAAAGACACCCCCCGCCCCCCGAGTCCTGAATCCTGGTGCACATCCCGCGGGAAGCCCCGCGGCTGTTCCTAGTAGCAGGGAAGTCCTCTACCCTCCCGTTTGCCTCTGAAAAATGGGCCGACACACCCCGGGACAGGACCAGAAAAGCCAAGGCTGCATCTACAAAGCACCTACTGTGTGCCAGGTACTTGCTACGTGTCAGACACGTTCCTCTGTTCCTCGCAGTGCCCTGAGAGGTCTGGTACAGTATTTTAACATTTATAGTGTTTTTTAAACTATAGGTGTAATTTGAGTGCTTGTTGTACAGCAGCTGTGGCTCTGAGCACTTTGAGTTAAATGTGTTAACTCATTTAATTCTGCTCAGTACTGCCGTTCCCACATTACAGATGGGGAAACTGAGGCACAGAGCCACTGACTTGCCCAGGGCCCGGGGACTGGAGAGAGGCCGAGGCAGAGCTGAACCCAGGCAGCCTCACTCTAACCCCTGCGCCGTTTGCAAAACACGTAAACAGTACCTGGCTCACGCCCTCAGGCAGCGCTGGCCCTCGCTAACGTCGCCATTCTCCCCGTTTCGAGGAGGGGAAACTGAGGCTCACTGCAGCCCATGAGTGGCCACGAGGGGGTCCAGTCTCTGTGTGGGGTTCCACAGGCGCTTCACTTGTGCTGTCAGGGGCCCAGAGATGCTTTCTGGGGGCGGGACCCGTCCAATCTTCCAGCCGCCGCCCTCCCCTCAGGGCCCGGCAGCCGCAGCCTGGATGCGTCGGGGCGCCAGGGCCGGGGCTCCGGAGGCTGAGCCCCTTCTCCGCTCCTGCCCGCAGCTTCACGCTGAGCCTGGTGGACGAGGCCGCGCGTGTCCCCGTGGCTCTCAGGGCCTCCTTCGCAGACAGGACGCTGGCGTGGGTGTCGCCCTGGGGGCGGAAGCAGCTGATCTTGGCCCCCTTCCTCTTCTACCCCCAGCGGTTCTTCGAGGTGGGTCAGAGCCAAGCACGCCCACCCGGGACACTGAGCAGGGGTGCGTCCCGGGGGGACCTCCATGCCAGGGCTCTCCACCCCGCACTGTGGCCAGGGGCCCCATGGGCCGGGGCGGGCCTGGCACCAGCGTCCGAGGGCAGCAGCGCCTGGGACAGCTGCTGGAACTGAGGCCCCGAGCTGAGATCCCGGTGGGAGGGCTGGTGGCCAGCGGGGCCCTCGTTCTGTCCGGGGGCAGCACTGGGTGCCCCATGGGCCCGTGGAGGGGAGGGGGGCTCGCTGGGTGGGCCCCAGGCAGGCAGCGGAGGGCCCGCCAGGAAGCCCGCGGGCCTCACGCCCTCCTTTGCCAGGTGCTGCTGCTGTGCCAGGAGGGAGGGCTGAAGCTGGCGCTCAACGGGCAGGGCCTGGGTGCCACCAGCCTGGGCCGGCAGGTCCTGGAGCGGCTGCGGGAGCTGCGGGTCAGCGGCACCGTCCAGCTGTACTGTGTGCACCACTGAGGAGGGCCCGGGACGAGGAGGGCCCGCCACACCCGGCCCCACACTCTGCCACCCCTCGAAGTGCCTGCCTGTCGCCGCCATGCCAGGCCCAGCTCACTTCCAGGGTCCGCAGGGGCTGGGCCCCCCACAGAAGGCAGGCAGGGGGGTGTGAGGGCGTTTCCAGCTCTGGGCCTCCCTCCCCCAGGAGCTGGGGGTTTGCTTCCATCTTCCTTCAGGGCTTCGAGAGGAGGCAGGTTGTGTAGCCGAACAAAGGGACAGAGTCCTGGCTCAGGGACGTGACAGGCTCCCGCCGCCCACCTGACAGTGGAAGAGAACGGGCTGTGCCCACGGACCCCCAGGGTCATTGTAGCCAGCGCCCCACTGCCCCAGGCCAGCATGTCGGGGGTCGGGGTGGCTCTGCTCCCGGCACTTGCCCACACATTTCGTTCTTGTGAGAACCCAGGGATGTGGATGGGATGGAGGACGAGGTGTGGCAGGCTTGTCCGATGTTGTAGAGCGGGTCCCCGGGCACCAGGTCAGAAGCAGCTCTGTCCCCTGGTCAGCGCTCATGCTCAGGTTCCCATGGACGGTGCTGGGCGTGTGGCTCCCCGGCCACAGCGCTGTCCCGGGAGGAGAAACACCTGTAGGAGGTCAGCCGCCGTGGGTTTGGGCAAACACCGTGTGCTTGTCGGAAAGGCGTGGGAAGTGAAACCCACCTAGCAGGCAGTTGTGCGAAATAATGAGTTGAAATTGTTTAACATGCCGCGTACCAAGTTGGAATCAATAAATGGTGGCTCTCACTGCTATTGGGGAACTTGGACCATTTACATTAATCTAACTATAACTCTCTCTCCCTATCTCTATCTCTATATCTTTATCTTTGTATCTCTATACTAGAGGCCCAGTGCACAAAATTTGTGTGCAGGTACAGTCCCTGGGCCTGGCCTGCGATCAGGGCCATCTTCCCCAGCTGCCCACAGCTGGCCCCATCCCCCACTGCCACCCACTGGCCATCGGGTGATCGGTGCCTGACGGCCAGGGGAAGGGACTGAGAGGTCAGCTGTTCCCGCCTGCTCATAGGCTCCGCCCCACCACAGGTTGCCCACTGTGTGTGGGGCGATCGGCGGGGTGGGGGCCTTGGCCTGGCGCTGCCCGCATCCCCCGCCACCGACCCCTGTTTCCCATTCGCCATCAGGCGATCAGAGCCTGCCGGCCCGGGAAAGGGACCCAGAGGTGGTCAGGGTACCTCAGTAGTGACTGGTCCAGCAGTTGTTCTGGTCGTTCCACCTTTAAGGTCAATTTGCATATTACCCTTTTATTATATAGGAATAGAGGCCTGGTGCATGGGTGGGGACAGGCTGGCCTGCCCTGATGGGGGCCCCATATCTAGGTGGGGGGGGGTCTCCACTTGAGGGCGAGGCGGCCTGGGCGAGGGGCCACGGTGTTCTGGTCTTTGGTCATTCTGGTTGTGACGGCATTAAGGTTGCTAGCTTTTTATATATATATATATATATACATACATCTCTATCTCCATCTCTATATCTCTATCTCTATCTCTATCTCTATCTCTATCTCTATCTCTATCTCTATCTCTATCTCTATATCCATCTATATACATATACATGATATGTTTACATTATTGCTATGTTGTTTTCTACTTGTCCTATGATTTCTCTATTCCCTTCTTTTTCTACTTCTGCTTTTGATCTTAGCTGAGAATTTTTTGTTTCCATTTCACCCCAGTTATGGACTCATTAGCTTGGCCTCCTCTTCTGTATTCTTAGTGAGGGCTTCAGGGCAGAGACTGTCCGCCTCAGCACCAATGCCGTCCTGAGCCAGATCAATCCTTGCTGGGGGGGCCCATGCCTTATGGGACATTTAGCAGCATCCTGAGCTCTGCCCACTGGGTGCCAGCAGCACCTCAGGGTTCTCCTGCCACCCCCACCCGCTGTGCCAGACAGCGCAGCGAGGAGGCTCGCTCTGTCAAAGACCTCACAGGCCCGCAGGAGAAGAGAGCAAATGGCAAGCACGTTTTCATGAAAGCCTCCGAAACGAGACTTTACAGTTTGCGGTGGCCAAGGCCAGGGACACACACTCCTCTGTAGAGCCACTGGCAGGAGGTTCCAGGGGACTTCGCGGCAGCTGGCCACGTCGGGGGTCCTGGGGCTGGTGGGCGGGTTTTATGCCACAGGGAGACTTCCATTTCCGATTTCCTTCAGACGGCGCTCTGGGAGACATGGTCTACCTCGAAAACTAACTGTTAACTACATCAGAAGATGGACGCATCGGTGCCTTGTCCTAAATGGAAATGTGCAATAACCTGCATCCGAAGGTGGGCTTGCCAGGCTCGCAGCCCCCGGGAGCAGCCCGAGCAGGCGTGGAGCCGCATTTCTGCCCTCGCCACCCCTGCTGGAGGAACTCAGGGCCTCTCCCATTGGACCCTGGGCTGCCATTTCTGTCTCGAGAGAATAGGCACTTCCAGGCACAGAGACGTGGGCCCCAATCCCCCCCTGTGACATGGTCTTAGCAAGGCCTTCAGAATACTGGGCCGCAGACGGTGGGGCATCCAGGGGCTCCTGCACCCTGCAGGGGGGACCTCCAGCATGCGGTGCCTTAGGACAAGGGGCCCCAGAGCTCATTGGCCTTGGGGTGCCTGTGGCTGCGAGAAGCTGAACTTCCCTAGAGCGGCTTCCCCAGCCTGGCGGTCCGCTGGGACAGGGGGGCGGGAGGCAGGGGCGCAGGCTCCGCCCAGCAGCTCCTGAGGCCACCGAGGCCACCGAGGGATCTGCAAAGAGATTCTTTTTTCCTAACAACCTCAGGAGCTTTTTTATCCCGGGCGAAGGTGGTGATGGGGGACGGGCTGGTTAGGCAGCCAGCAGTCCTCTGTCTCCTAAGCCTCCAGAATGGAAGCTGGTGGGCAGAGCGGCCTAGAGACACTCAGCTGCCCTGACAGGAGGGACAGAGCATGAGGAGCAGGGAGGAGGGCGCAAGGGGACCAGAAGGTGAACCGGTGGGAGCTCCCGGACACTCCCGGGGGAGGGGTTCGTGGTTGAGCCACTTCAGAGAAGCTGGGCTGCATGTACGAGAGCTGAGCACACACTCCTCGGCTTCGTGACCAGGCAGCTGCCAGCTGGCCACGGACGCAAGAGAACTGCGTGCACGTGTCCGTAAAAGCACACGCACCGCCAGGCTTTCTTATCTTCAGTCCTGAAGCCACCCGTCCTCCCGCTGAGGTGTCTATTGCCCCCACGGCTGGTGGCTTGGGTGCTCCTGTGGGGGCCGCGTGCCCTGCTTTTAGGGCTGCGGGCACCACCTCATCTACACGGGGCTTCCTCCAGGGGTAGCAGCAACACAGACTTGCCACTTGCACACAGAAATGGCTCCGCTTTGCCATTTCTCACGGGACACACTTCTAGTTTTACACCCAAAGCTCTGGGGGGTGGGGGTGGGTGGTGTCCATCATCCTTCCCCTCTTACCAAGGGGTTCTTTCTTTCGGGGCTTCAGCTTTCTGCAGATCCCAGTTCCCCTCCCATAGCTCTCCTGGCCCAGCGCGCACACCCCTGTCCGCACACAGGCCCTGCAGTTCCACCCGGAGACCTCTGGGGGCTGGACCTGTACTAAACCGGCAGATCTGTGCTCCAGCTGGTGCACAGGTGCCGGCTCAGGGTCACTACAACTTCAACTTCACCTTCACTCCCGGCACCTGGTATATCAGCGTTTATATTCAGCCGTACACTTAGTAGGCATCTTCAGTGGGAACATTTTCATATTCCAGATATTGCGGTGGGGTCAGGGCTGACAATGGGGAAGGAAAGGAGTCATGAGGCCTGGCTGTGTAGAATAACAGTTCTTGTAGGGAAAGCACATATTTGCCACAAAGCACCCAGTCCAAGTGAAGTTGGAGTGTGACAAGTGCTACTGGGGAGAAGTACGTGGGAGCCTCGACTTAGTCACAGGGAGCAGACCCGGGCTCCACAGGAGAGAGCCCGTTTCCGACCAGGGGAAGGGCATGCACGTTGTTAGCTGTCCTGGGAAGAAGCTGATCCTGGGGCAGCTCAGGTGTCAGGGCCGTGAGTCATGCTGGAACAGGGAAGGTCCTCCTCCACTGTGTGTGGCTCTGGGAGGGCAGCCATGTCCCAGCGTCGCCTGGTGGAAGGTGAGCTGAGCCCGTGGGCGTGGAGGCAGGTCAGGGTCATTGCAGGGACAGCCAGTCTTGACTCTGTAAATATATGAACGGACGTGCGTCCTGGATCGGAGCATGGTCACATTACATCGTGGCAGCGAAGAGTTATCCCCTCGTGAGCCACATGTGGCTCTTTGGCCCCTTGAGTGTGGCTCTTCCTAAGCCTTAGGAGTACCCTAATTATGTTAATAACAATGTACCTACCTATATAGTTTAAGTTTAAAAAATGTGGCTCTCAAAAGAAATTTCAATCATTGTACTGTTGGTATTTGGCTCTGTTGACTAATGAGTTTGCTGACCACTGGCCTAGCTGTTCTTCCTTCCTGGTAAATTCTCTGAGCTTCTGGTAAATTCCCATTATTAGCTACAGGCTGGGATTCGCTGAGCTCTGGGGATTGAGGGTCCAGACTTTTATATCTTTGGGATGGGAAGCCAAGTGGAAAGTGTTATCTATCCCCAGGGCCAGAGTAGTGGTGGCCATGGTGACCCCACAGGCGGAGACTCCTGGGGTCAGTCTCTGGGGAAGCTTGGTGGTAGATGCACAGCCCAGCAGCCTTGAAGGAGAGGGGGGTGGCCACTTCTGAGCCCACACGGGATGCAAACAGGAAAACAGCTGCGAGTGATATCAAGAAAAGAACCTTCCAGAAATCCAACCCGGAATAGACTGACCCATGCTAATTGAGCCCATGAAGTAACAATGATTTCACGCAATAGTCCCGGGCAGGTAAGGCTAGACCCGGTGTTGTAATGCCATCCTTTATAACAATGGAGGCTGGCCCACTGAGGCACTGCAGGTGTGGCGGGAGGTGGCCGTCTGGTCTGGATGTTGGACTCACTCGCCAGATGCTGGGATTAGCTGCCGGGAGCCGGTCCATCCTTGCTGTTTCAAAGGACCTGGCATATATGGCATACTGTTCTTAATATGTTTGCTCACCTTCTTGGCACTATGTGTTTTAACCAAGGTCTCCTCTCTGAAAAAGGTTGTTTCCCCAGGTAGGGATTTTCCCCTGAAGTTAGGGAGGGAATAAAACCCCTCAACTAAGTGCCAGGCGGGTAGTTAATCACTTTAACTACGAACAATCATGCTTAAGCTACTTAATCTTTACTCCCTGGAATGGAGATAAGAAACGCCCTAACCTTTGTAATAGAGATTGATAGGATTGAATCAACTGGTATAAATACAGATGTAACAAGACAGCAAGAGTCAGAACTTAGAATACAGAGCTTAGAACACAGAACTAAGAAGACAGAACCTACACAGAACCTACAGACAGAAGAACTTCGCTGGAGAGAACATGGCAAAAGATCCTGGACTGAACCTGACTACAGAAATTGGCAAGAGAACCTGACTAGAACCTGGTGACTGAACCTGGCTGGAGAACCTGGACAGAACCTGGCTGGAGAACCTAGCGAGGGAACATGGCTACAGAACCTGGCTGGAGAATCTGGAGAACCTAGCAAGAGAACATGGACACAGAACCTGGCTGGAGATCCTAACCAGAACCTCTCTGGAGATCCAGACCAGAACTTGGCTGGAGATCCTGGCTGGAGATCCTGGCTAGGCTGCTGATCAACTGAACACTGTCTCCGTGTCCTTCCTTCTTCGCCGACTCCGTCCACACCTTTGGGGACCCCTGGCCCCGCTGGGGTTGGACCCCGGCAATTAGCCAGAGGAATTTTAGTCTCTTGTCCACCCGGAGAGTAAAATTAATCGAGGCAGAAGCAAAAGTGTGTGGAGCCAATTTATTGAACATCTGCTGATGGTCAGCAATGTGCTAAGGCATTTACATCACCTCAAGGAAACAAGCGAAGCAGCCACTCTCACCCCGTGTTACAGAAGAGAAACCTGAAGCTCAGATTTCAAGAGTCTTTTTCAAGATCAGCCAGTCGAAGTGGCCAACGGGTACTCAATTGTAGATGCTTCCCTTCCAAAGAGCTTTTTCCCCCTCCAGTTTATTTATTTATTTATTTCAAGAAAAATGATTTAAAATATAATAATGTTACATGCAGTAAACCTTAATATTTCAAGAAAAATGACCTTAAATATACTAATGTTACATGCAATAAACACCAATTATTCAAGAAAAATAATTTTACATATAATAATACTAGAGGCCCAGTGCACGAAATTTGTGCACAGGTGGGGTCCCTAGCGGCTGCTGGCCAGGGCCTCACTTCTCCCTGCTGCCTGCCACCACTGGAAGGAGAGGGGCCACGGCCATTGGCCAGCCCCGTCCCCTGGAGAAACTCCTGGTTAGGGGACAATTTGCATATTAGGCTTTTATTAGATAGGATTGCATGCAATAAACATTAATATTTCAGGAATATCCAAAGATTCTTGAGTTTGCAGGAAAGTAGTGGAAATATTTGGTAAAGGGATCACTGGATTCATTCATTTTCTTCTTCAAGAAGCTATGGTCTTGCTAGAATTAGTCCCTGGAAACGCCAGTGGGAGAGAGCATCGGGCACAGACGGGATCAGCTGGTCTTTGAAGAGGCCTCTAACTGGAGACTGTTTAGTGGCTTCTTCAAGCAGCTGTTGTTGCTGGGGAGCACTGCGAAGAAGTAGCCAGGACTGGTGGCACCGCCACAGAAGCACCAGCTGACTCAGAAACTCCACTCTGAGAAGGAGAACAGTACATTGCTCAGAGTTAAAAGGAGTCCAAGACTGATGGTCCCTCCCTCTCGAGTCACACAGAGACACATGACTTCTGTCCACCCCAGAGACCTTTTCCCAGGAAAGAAGTGGACTGTGTCCCCAAGAGCTCACATTTGAGCAGCTCTGGCCCTGGAGGCCCTCTGGGGGGAAGGTGATCCTATTGGACCCGGGCTCATTCCAGACTCTCCCTGACACCCCACAGGACCTTTCAGGATCTGCCTTCAGAGCCGAGCTCAGAGGTAAAGGACTGCGTATGCTCAGAGCCAGCCAGGCCCTCCCTCACAGGTCCTCCTTCTGACCCTTCATTCTGCACACAAGGAAGGCCCGGAAAGGGGCAGTGACCTGTCCAAAGCCCTCAGTGGACTGGAAGCTGGTTTGGGATTTGAGCTTAGGTGTCTGCTATTCACAGGCAGCTCCGTATTTGGAAGGGATCCAGGCAGCTGAGAGCACATAGGGCGAGGGGCGGTGCTGCTGCGGAACTAGGGACGAGAGGACCCTAGTGCATCCTGGTGGCAGGCGGCTGCGGGGTCACGGAAGCTATGCTGATGAGCTCGGGAACCATGTTCTCCTCTGAGCCTGGGCTCCTCCTCTGTAGACTGGGACAAGAAATGCTGCCTGATTGGCCACAGGCCTGTGGGAGGAGCAACTGCTAGTCAGAGTGACTCACATCTGAGTGGAGCTCCCCCCGCCCCCCCCAGGTTCGTTCCCAGTCATGTAATGCCCACAGGAAACCGTGACGTGGACGGGATAGAGGCACGTGGCCGACTCTGGATAGAAAACCAAGTCCAGGCAGGAAAGTGATCCTGTAGCGCAGTGGTTCTCAACCTTCCTCATGCCGCGACCCTTTAATACAGTTCCTCATGTTGTGGGGACCCCCAAACATAAAATTATTTTCGTTGCTACTTCATAATTGTAATTTTGCTACTGTTATGAATCATAATGTAAATATCTGATATACAGGATGTATTTTCATTGTTTGCGACTCACAGGTTGAGAACCACTGCTGTAGCAGGTCTCCTGGCTGGTCGGGGGGTAGTGGCAGAATCTACACCCCGTTTTCCTGGCCTGCAGGGCAAGGAGGCCTCCCCGGGTTGCACTGGCGACCCTTTGCAAAAGGTTTCCCCACTGAAAAGGGCTCTTCAAAGAGCAGAAAGCAGTCAGACTCAGTGGACAAAACACTGGTTTTGGAGTCAAAGCAGTTGGTTCACACTCTGAAATGTGCACGTAGCTTTGGGGCCTGGGGCTGGTTAAGTGCTTGGTCCCTGATATTTACCAAGAGCCGCCCCTCATCCTCCTGTCAAGGGAACCCCAAATGGAATCACCCCATAGGGCTCTTACCTGTTGGCTGCAGGGCGGCCATTTCTCAGTTTAGCGACAAAGTGCTCACAGTTGGGAAATAAAAATTGTCATTCCAGGTTTCACCAATTTTCTTCTTCGCCAAATTGACAATATCATGCAGAGGCCGGGGTCTGTACTTGTCATCCAAGAAGTTGTTGACCTTGTACGTGTTATCCCCTGCCACTTCTTCCAGAGGTTCACATTTCACCATGTCTTGTAATACTACATAGCCATGTTCAAGGTTGGAAGAGCTAGACCCGGAGGACACACCTGGGATCACAGAGAGACTAAGATGCTGCCATGCTCAGCAGTGCCATGTTGGACACGGAGGGGAAGAAGAGAGGACGCCCCACTATTGACATCTGAGGTCACTGTCCCTTCCTTCTACTATCATTCCCTCTTGCTGGAAGTTAAATTTAGCAGGAGTGCAATTGTTTGATCCACTCTTTTGTAACTTAACTACTTAAGGCTCTGTTGCCAACATGTTCCCACAACAAATGGCAACTCCATCATAACTTAGAATGGGTGCCATGGGGTTCCACTGATGTCAGACTTTGATGCATTTAACAAATGTCCAATTGTTGGGTATTTCAGTTGTTTAAACTTGTTTTGACGATACACAATGATATCATAACAATACTTGCAGATGACGCATCTTTGGGCATGGGTCTGACTCAGACACATTTTTGAGTTTTTTAGAATCTACCTGGAAGAAGCCAGTCTCAGCTGATTCTCTTATAACCCTGCCCCCGTGATAACTTGTCTCCATTTCACAGAACCAATTTTGAGCCACAGAACTTAAGCGACAAAAGTTGTGGAGCAAGGATTTGAAAGAACTCCAAAGGGCTAGCGATTTCTACTATTGTGCAGAAACTGTGGGCCCCATGGCAAGAGGGAACTTCTCATCATTTTCTTACATCCTATCACCTGGCTTAGTTCTGGACACTTAGGAGAGAGTCACAACAGAATTGTCAACCGATGGAGTCCACATTCCATTCCTTAGCGAGTAAAGATCTGACATGTCATAGTTCAAAAGGAAAAGGATGCTATTACCACAGCAATGAGTTCTCTTTTGTTCCCTTTTCTCATCATAAAGCTGGTGATTAAACAAATAATTCATCTTTACCTGATTTCACATGAATCACAAAACCGTCTCCCACATAGATTGCCCAATGCTTGTAAACATCTCCAATTTGAATCAGGTCTCCAGGTATTGGGTCCTCGCTTGACTACAACAGAAAAGCAGAGAGAGGGTAGACAGATGGAAGGAAGCAGCAGAGACGGGGTGGAGAGCTGCAGGCTGCTCCCTGCCACACAACACCTAGTAGCAGCCCCGGGAGAGGAGCCTCCGTGACTGCTGGGGCCGCCTGCTTTGCTGTCACTCAGAGAAGTCCTGTTGGGGGTAGGAGGGACAGGAAGCCTGGACACAGTCGGGCTGAAGCCTTTCCGCTCGGGGCCCTAGCACTTTGTCCCGCCCCATTGCTCCCGCCCCATTGCTGGGCATTAGCGTGGCTCTCATCTTCTGCTCTGACACTTCCACATCCTCAGTCTGACTGCAGCTGAGAGACCCCCCCACCCCAGGGCTAGCCAGTTCCTGAAGATCAGCTCACAGCAACCCCTTAAACAGTCTTTTCAAGGCAAATGAACCAATCCAGAGCTCACTGCAGGCCACTCTCCACCTACCCCAGTGCCCCCAGGTACAGGTACAAGTCACCTAGAGACAGCGCCTCCACCCCAGAGCCTGCAGAAAGCATTCTACCAGCAACTCCTAAGCCTGCTCGCCCGCCCCAGTCACTCTTCCCACAGACACCACCGGCCAGGCTCTTGCCCTTAGCTCTTGTCCAGCTCTTCACCCTCGTCCCTCTCACCCTCATCCCTCTTCACCTCCCTGTCTCTCTCCGCACTTTCTCTGCCTCCTCCCCAACCCAGTGCTCCCTCATGTGGCCCTGGGTGGCGGCCATGCCCCCTCCTCTTGGGAGCTGGGAGTGACAGCTGTCTCCTCCTCTGCAATCCTCTCCTGACCGGTTGCCTTACTGAACCTCCATGAGTCCATTAAGACGCAGGTGTTCGAGCAGGTTGTCCATAGCGGTGCTGAGTAGCCTCCTCCTCAGACTCTGTCCCAACCTCCGGGCACTCATTCATGGAGACACGAACTGAAGGCTCCTCAGGGCCACACAGTGGGCACCTGGGCCAGGCACCCTCCCTGGTGGCGACCACACAGCTGCCAGTGGGACATTTCCATCACACACACCCACTCAGCCAACAGTACCTCAGGCTAAAGGGCCCAACAGGTCCCCACTCCCGGGTGTGGGCACGGGAACTGGTGAGGTTGAGGGACTTACCCCAGATGGTTCAGCCAGACAGCAGTCAGCCCTTCCCGCTCCCACACCCGCCCCCAATGCAGGCTGCTTTTCTCCACGTTCACACGCCTTCCCAGGGAATGAGTGTCCGCCCCACAGGGCATCCAGTCCCATGGAATGAAGCCTGCTCTGTCCCTCTGCTCCTTCTGTCCCCGTCCTTCTGGCGTCACTCAGCCCAGCTTGCTAATCAGAGGCCTAGTCATCCTTCCCTCCTCCTTCTCCCTCAGCCCCACGTCCAAGTACCAAGTGCCTTCAACACCACCTTCCTCCATCCCCCTCCCTCTAACCTGGGTTTCATTCCACTCACTCCTTACCCACCCGTGTTGTCCAGTGGGACCTTCACAGGGAAAATCGGGCAATGACCTACCTAGACCCTCAGAATGCTGTCCACACCCTTTAGGCAGCTCATGGTCCAGCTCTTCACCCTCCTCCCTCTCACCCTCATCCCTCTTCACCTTTCTGCCTTCCTCCTCCCTCTCACCCTCATCTCTCTTCACCCTCCTCCCTCTCACCCTCCTCCCTCTCACCCTTATCCCTCTTTTCCTCCTCTACTCTTCTCTTCCTGAGCTACCTGTCCCCACCTCACGCTCTCTCTCTCCTGCTCCTCTGACGCCATGTTCTCTCTCCCTCCTACACCCTCCGAGCCCTCCCCATGTGACACACACTCTCCTCCCAGCAGACAGTCTCTCCTCTGGGCACCTCACTGCCTCAGCCTGGACCAGCTGCCCCTGATCTCTGTGCACAGATGGCTTTGATACAACTTTCTGTGCCTCTCTGCCAGCGCCTCTGGTTTGGGATCTATGGGGAATGGTAAGAGCAGGACATGAGGACCAGCCTGCCCAGCACCTCTTCACTTAGGACAAAACCAGATCACTGGCCCGGACACACTTGGGCGAAGGGCCTTGAAGAAGGTCTCCTGGCTGGGCAGCCGCAGTGTGAGACCGGACTGGCTGTCCATGACTTTCAGAGCACGGGGTCCACAGCACTGTTCTGGGATGAGGATCCCTTGCAATGCACTTCCAGACTGAAAGGTGCTCTTCAGGGACGAATACACCCAGGTTCACTCCTCACCTCATGTCTGACGCGTTGGAGAAGTTGCCTAAACTCTATGTGCCCCATGGCTGATGGTCAGGACTTAGTGAGCTGGGAGCTCTCACATGCTGGGCTCTCTAACATTACTGTGAGAACCAATACTGCAGCATCACTGTGAGAACCAATACTGCAGCATCACTGTGAGAATTAATACTGCAGCATCACTGTGAGAATTAATACTGCAGCATCACTGTGAGAATTAATACTGCAGCATCACTGTGAGAACCAATACTGCAGCATCACTGTGAGAACCAATACTGCAGCATCACTGTGAGAACCAATACTGCAGCATCACTGTGAGAACCAATACTGCAGCATCACTGTGAGAACCAATACTGCAGCATCACTGTGAGAACCAATACTGCAGCATCACTGTGAGAATTAATACTGCAGCATCACTGTGAGAATTAATACTGCAGCATCACTGTGAGAACCAATACTGCAGCATCACTGTGAGAACCAATACTGCAGCATCACTGTGAGAACCAATACTGCAGCATCACTGTGAGAATTAATACTGCAGCATCACTGTGAGAACCAATACTGCAGCATCACTGTGAGAATTAATACTGCAGCATCACTGTGAGAACCAATACTGCAGCATCACTGTGAGAATCAATACTGCAGCATCACTGTGAGAACCAATACTGCAGCATCACTGTGAGAATTAATACTGCAGCATCACTGTGAGAACCAATACTGCAGCATCACTGTGAGAATTAATACTGCAGCATCACTGTGAGAATTAATACTGCAGCATCACTGTGAGAATTAATACTGCAGCATCACTGTGAGAATTAATACTGCAGCATCACTGTGAGAATTAATACTGCAGCATCACTGTGAGAACCAATACTGCAGCATCACTGTGAGAATTAATACTGCAGCATCACTGTGAGAACCAATACTGCAGCATCACTGTGAGAACCAATACTGCAGCATCACTGTGAGAACCAATACTGCAGCATCACTGTGAGAACCAATACTGCAGCATCACTGTGAGAATTAATACGTCAGCATCACTGTGAGAATTAATACTGCAGCATCACTGAGAGAATACTTCAGCATCACTGTGAGAATTAATACGTCAGCATCACTGTGAGAATTAATACTTCAGCATTACTGTGAGAATTAATACTTCAGTATTACTGTGAGATCCAATATTGCAGTATAACTGTGAGAATGACTGCTGCATATTTACTGTGAGAATTAATACTGTGGGGTCATTATGAGAATTAATGCTGTAGTATTACTGTAAGAATTAATGCTGTAGTATTAATATAACAAATACCATGCAGGCTTCACTGGTGGTTTTCCCAAATCCCACCCATTTTCCCACTGAGGAAGAACTCCAGAGGGTAAAGGGTCACCCCTTGAAGGGCCTTACCAACTCACGGCGGGGCCAGCCATATCTCAGATCAGCGACAAAACGTTCGCTATTTTCGCGGAGAACTGAGTAAGTCTTCTGGTTACCAATCATCTCCTTGGCAGACGTGATGATCTCATGCACAGGCCGGGGTCTGTGCTTATGGTCCAAGTGGTTGTTGACCTTGTAGGGACGGCCGCCAGCCGCCTTCTGCAGAGGCTCTTTTGTGACCTCAGCCCTGCCACTCAGAAACATAGGCATGTTGAAGGGCCCAATACTGCGCGATTCACCTGGAACCACAGAGCGAATCGCAGGCAGGTGAGATAGGGAGACAATGGCAGGAGACAAAAGGCACACACCCTACCAGTTATGGCGGTTTGCGTGGTAACTTTTCCCAGGAAGGATTCGAAGAGTCACAGATTCTGTTCTTTTCCTGAGCAAGGCGTCCTGAATTAGTTTCACATGTCGTAAATGACATGATTGTCAATGGCTGGGTCACAAGACAATGTCATAGTGTTGTGTGAATGTGACCCATGGCCTTTTACTGAGCATTTGGGTTGATGGAAAGCTGAGCCATGAGAAGCAGTTCTGTTAGGAATATACTGATATACCTGTGCATCTTCATACCCTGGTGCGCTTCAGAATCAGATCTATTTTCATAGATTGTCTAACTTAATTCTCGTTGTATCCTTCAAGGAAAATATTATCATCTCCATTTGGCAACCAATATTGGGCCCAGAGGGACATTAACAGTCACATCTGTTAATGCTGTGCTGCGATAGCTCCTAGAACCACAATGTGACACTTCCTCTCTCAAGCTCCGAAGGCCAGGCTCCTGCCCCCGCACGGAGCTGAGGCCTAGGGAGCCCTGCACGTCCGTGTCTCCTGTCCCATGACCTGGCACAGTGCCGGGCACAGGGAGAGTCCACAGAAGAGCTCTCAGCTGATGGACTCCCAATTCCATTCTTTTTTTTTTTTTTTTAAATATGTCTTTATTGATTTCAGAGAGAGGAAGGGAGAGGGAGAGAGAGTTAGAAACATCAACGATGAGAGAATCATCAAGTGGCTGCTTCCTGCACACTCCCTATCTGGGATCGAGCCTGCAACTCAGGCATGAGCCCTGACGGGGAATCGAACCCTGACCCCCTGGTTCATGGGTTGATCGATGCTCAACCACTGAGCAACACTGGCGGGGCCCAATTCCATCCTAATAGGGAGTCCTGGTGTGTTTTCTAAGAGGAAGAGTAACTACTGAGCACACTAAGTAAGCACACTACTACCTGTTTCTAATCTCAAGGATGAAGGTTGCACTTGGAATCCATCCTCTTAAGAAAACCTGTCCACACCTGGGAGACCAGATATAAAAAGGACCGCATGTCCTCGCAGTCATGCTCTCTCCTACAAGGCCCCTAAGTGTCACCTGGGTAAAATGAGCGTGATTAACTCTTTTTACTAAATCCCTATGTTCCTCCAACACCGTCAGGACATATGATGACTGGTGGGAAACACCTAAGGTGCAGAAGTAGCATTCCCACATTGATGACAATTATTTTCCCCGGATGAAGACAGAGCATCAAAGGTTACGTTGCCATTGCTCTGTGGGACACGAGCCAGTTTGCATCTGATGTAGCAGGCTTATTCCAGCCACCTTGGTTGTCTTCATGGACCATGCATCAGTTCCGTTCGTTCTCCTGCTAACCGGCTTGTCATCGTCCTGCTTCTGCCTTATTTATGGGGTAGATGAACTATTACCAGGTGCTTGCTATACATTTTCATGAGAATTTTCCCTTTGGGTGGGCACTTTGAAAGCTGCTTCTGCTAAGCAGCATACTATCTAATAAAGAGGTAATATGCAAATTGACCAAATTGACCATCACTCCAACACACAAGATGGCCACCTCCATGTGGACACAAGATGGCCACCACAACTTGCCTGGCAGGGGAGGGCAATTGTGGGTGATCAGGCCTGCAGGGGAGGGCAGTTGGGGGGAACCAGGCCTGCAGGGGAGGGCAGTTAGGTGTGACCAGGCCAGCAGAGGAGGGCAGTTGGGGGAGACTAGCTCTGCAGGGGAGGGCAGTTGGGGGGGGGCAGGCCTGCTGGGGAGGGCAGTTGGAAGGGACCAGGCCGGCAGGGGAGGGCAGTTAGGGGTGATCAGGCCTGCAGGAGAGGACAGTTCAGGGCAACCAGGCCGGCAGGGTAGGGCAGTTAGGGGTGATCAGGCCAGCAGGGGAGGACAGTTTGGGGTGACCAGGTTGGCAGGGGAGGGCAGTGTGGGGGACCAGGCCTGAAGGGGAGGGCAGTTGGTGGCGACCAGGCCAGCAGGGGAGGGCAGTTAGGGGTAACCAGGCCAGCAGGGGAGGGCAGTTAGGGGTGACCAGGCCAGCAGGGGAGGGCAGTTAGGGCAATCAGACTGGCAGGGGAGCAGTTAGGCATTGATCAGGCTGGCAGGGGAGTGGTTAGGGGGTGATCAGGCTGGCAGGCAGAAGTGGTTAGGGGCAATCAGGCAGGCAGGCAGGCAGGCGAGCGGTTGGGAGCCAATAGTCGTGGATTGTGAGAGGGATGTCTGACTACCCTCAAGGGGTCCCAGATTGGAGAGAGTGCAGACTGGGCTGAGAGACACATAATCCCCCCACCCCTCATGCATGAATTTCGTGCACCGGGCCTCTAGTCTATTATAAATATTAAGACACCGAGTTTGTGAAATCACACACTTTCGAAAACCGCAACACTGAGGGCGCTTCTTATGTAAGACCTGGACTGTGAGTTCCTGAAGAACTTTGCTGCTTTAAGTCACATCATCGGAGCCCCAGGTACGGAGGGAGCCAGCCCTGCCTGCGGGTCCAGGTGCTGAAGCAGCCCAGCGGCTGTGGACCCCGTGGGCACAGGGGCTGGGTTTGGACTATGCCCTGTGTGAGCTCTGCACAGGGAGAATGTGTATCCCAACTCAGGCTCCCGTGCTGGGCTTTCATTCCAACTGCTCACATTATCTTATTGACAAAGCCTTGGCGCATCCTGCTTCCAACAGGCCTTACCTGGAGCAGTCAGATGGATCACATAACCATCGCCCACATAGAGCGCCCAGTCACGGTTGAGCCTGTGAGAGATCTCAATTATGTCTCCAGGTCTGGGATCTTTAACCAACTGTAAGAGGAAAACCAGAGATGGTAGACAGGCTGCCAGGCAACAGCAGAGACCCTGGCAGGAGCTGCAGCGTGGCCTGGGGACCCCAGGCTGCTGTTCATCATCTGTCACCCAGGGAACCCCTTGTCTTTCTGAGGGGAACCAGGAGCTGGAACCCGGGAGAACGAACTTCTGGGCTGGAGAAAGGAGCACGGTCTGGGTGGCATAGGATGTGTGTGTGTGTGTGTATGTGTGTGTGTGTGTGTATATGTGTGTGTGTGAGTGTGTGAGTGTGTGTGTGTATGTGTGTGTGTGTGTGTGTGTGTGTGTGTGTGTGTGTGTGTGTGTGTTTTGTGTGTACATGCACACACACAGTGGATACAGACATGTATATGCATGTGGGATGCACATGTGTCCTGATTGTAATGACATGACAGGCTGCATGTAGAACCCCTTCCCTGAGGCTGGGGCCCCAGGCCCATCCCCAACAGCGTGGGGCAGGTGAGTCTGAGTGTCTCGGCCCTCACGCACTGCCCTCATGTTTCCATCACGCCTCTGGCCTGGCTGTGCTTGGCTGCAACACGGGCCTCCTCCAGCCCGGAGACACCCACTCTTGGAGATGCCAACCAGAGAGACAGGAAATGACAGCACCCTAACAGCGCCCAAGCCTTCCAGGGGCCCCCAGTGTGGCTGCCCAGCTTCCTGCACTGGTCAGGGCGGGGGCAGGTGGGGCTCACATACTCAGGCAGCAGGCTCTGCTGGCACATTTCCCGCCAAACAGCCACCCTCCCAAGCCCAAGGGAAGGAAGCAGCACCCGTTCCTCAGCTGGTGAAACTGAGGATCAGAGAGGTAGAGGGACTTGCCCAGGGACACTCAGCTGGCAGTGGCTACACTGGGTCTTCACTATCCCACCCATTTCTGGTCCCCTTTTATCCCTCCCTCCCTGCTTTACCACTTCCTCCCTGTTCCTCAGTGTCCCTGCCCAGGGCACCACAGCTTCATGACTTGAGAATTTTTCAGTTTTTCTTCTTGTTTGTGCCTAACCTCAACATACCTCCGGCAGCGCTCACCCCAGCCCGCCCAATCTGAGACCAGGGGCCAGCTTCCCTTTGCCCTCATTCCATGCCAATATCCAACAGTGATCATTTAGCCAGGAAGCTTCTCTGGAATTCACTTCTTTGTTCATCTTTCTCCCAGACTTTATTCAGGGCCATCCTGTTTCCGATTATGTGATCCCACATTTTCCTGACCCACCCCCAGACTTCTGTACCACCCATTCCAGGGCCTGTGTGAGACTCTTGGGTGGGGCCATTTGGTCCTGACAGGGTGTTGGGGGAGGGGGCTTCCTATCTGGACTCCAGGGGCCAGAGCTCTGGGGCTAAAAGTGGGAATGGCTCTGTGGTCTGGGCTCTACCTCTGCAGAGGGAGGTGGTGGCAGAGCTGAGGGGAGACAATGGGAAACCATGGCCTCAGGGATCACTATGCTTGGTGTACTGTTCCCAAGTGCAGCCTGGAAACTTCTATCTCCAGCCCCACCTCAGCCCTGAACTCCAGACTTGCACGTACAACTGCTACTCAAAAGCTCTACCTAGATATCTAACTGGAGACCTCAATACCCCACATGAGCATCAAATCCTTAATTTTCCTCCCAAACCTCCTCCTCCCCTCATCTCCTCCATCCAGGCTACCCATCACCCAGTCACAGGGGCTGTGAGCCCTGGAGGTGCTGTGGTTCAGCAGAAAGAGCAGGGAGCACTGGGCATTGAATCCTGCTTCTGCCTCTTACTAGCTGTGCTTTGCTAAGAGGGGAAAGAGGAGAGCGGTAAGGATGTGCCCAGACCTTACAGAACATGTCCTCGAGCTCTTACATGGGCCACAGACCTTGAGCATCTCTTGCCCGAGGGCTCCCTGGGGCCTTAGGAGACCTGTCAGGGTCCCGGGTTGGCCCAGACTTTCCTGACAGCACACAGGGCATCAGGAGCTGCCTTTTAGGGTGGGTCTTAGAGGCGAAGGATCCTAAAGGGATAGAGGTGGCCAGAGCCTCAGAGGTCCTCCAAACATCCCCTCCTTCTGCACATGGGGAAACTGAGGCCAGAGAGGAAGTGACCTGTTCAAAGACCCTGAGTGGATCAGGAACAGACCTGACATTTGATCTCAGACATCCTAACTCCCAGCCAGCAGGAAGCAGGAAGCATAATTTTGCCTCAGTCCTGGAAAATTTTTGTTCTGGCTGCACATTACTGTCACCCCCACCCCAAGGAGACCCCCAGAAGGTAGAGGGAGCCTCCCACAGAGGGCCTTACCTGCAGGTCATGGGCATTGCCATATCTCAGATCCGTAACAAAGTGCTCACAGTTCCTGCTCTGATCCGGGTGCTTCATGTTCTTACCAACCAACCAGTTCCCAAATTCGATGATCTTCTTTATGGGCCATGGTTTGTACAGATGGTCCAAGTAGTTGTTGACCTTAAACGAGCAGTTTCCCACCACTTCCACCAGGAGCTCCTTTTTCACCACCCCTAAGCCGGTGGGGGCGCCAGCCTCAGAGTTCTCCCCTGGAATCAGACACAGGAGTATCAGGAACTGCAGGGGAGGCCAGGGAGGGAGAGAGAAGACACAAGACAGGGAAGAAGGGCCAGGGATGGCACTATTGAGCCTTGGTGTCTGTCCCTTCACCAATGTGATTGGAGGATTCAGTGATTTTGCTCTTTTCCTTAATGAGCTGTGAATACTTTTCATGTTAATCAATGGTGTGATGGTCATCGCCTGCCATTGTACTCCATGATATGATTGGACATCATCTAGTTGACCAAGTCCCTATTATTGTCTGGTCCTAGTTTATCCATTGTAATCAGTGGTAGTAAATGGTATATGTTCATCTTTGCACTTGTATATTTCAGAAAGAGATTAAAGTTATTTTAGTCCCCACTGTATTTCAGACACTCTGCTGTACTTTTATTACATAGGATTATTACACTCATAATCCTATGTAATAAAAGTACAGCGACCGAACCGCAGAATGACCAGAATGACTGGAACAACACCGGCCCCTCACCCAGCGGCCTCCCCACCCCACCCCCGACGCCTAAATCACTGCTGGGCTCCCTGGTGCATGTACAGTTAGTGCAAGCACAAGAAAATAATTATCAGACCCTTCTGTCCCCAACCAGAGTCTCCAGAGGGCTCTGCTAATACTGCAGCCAAGGTGTGGAATTCTCCCTCCACAGCCTGCAGCCCTAGGAGACCTTCCAAAATAGCCAAAAGGGCAACCTAAGCATTAAGGGGATGCCGGCCCTTTGCTAGGAATGTAGAGAGGCTGGGTGGGGATTTTGTGAAATTACGGTGCCTTGCAGATTAGGTGAGCTTTCAATCTCTCTTTAAAAGCGGTGGCAAAGAGGACCCTTAGGCTGCCAGAAACTACAGCGAATGGTAGGCACATTCACAAACAGAAGAACTTTTAAACAAACAGACATGAAGATCATATTGGGAACTGAGGGCAGAGCCCCGGGAAGAACGCAAAAATCATTCAAGGGCCATCATTCATCTTGATATACGTTTGCAAGCAACACATAAACAACTTCATCTCATGGCATGAGAAATGCACAACAGTTCTGTTGTGGGTTGTCTTTGTGCCATCCTTAAAGAATAATTACATTCAGCTGGGGGAAAGCTATAGCTTCCTGATTAGACCCCTCGGCCAGCCCTGCCAATGGGCCCCCATCAGGGTGGGGCCGCGGGACCCCACACTTGTACAAATTCGTGCACCACGCCACTAGTTTCACATTCCCTCACTTATTCTCCTTTTGAATTTCATGGTAAATACTCTCATCTCCATTTGACAACCGATATTGGACCCTGAGGCATCATCAGCCTTTTCTGGCCCAGCTCTGGCCACATGGAGAGTCCACACAGCGCTTCCAGCTGGTGGCGTCCAAATCCCATTGACCTGGAGCCCGGGTTTTGCTGTCTAAGAGGAGGGAACTAAGGAGCACGCGAACCAGCGGGCTCCCTTTATGTGCGGAGTCTCGAGGCTGAGGCTGCACTCAGCACCCGTCCTTGAGGAAACACCCCCTGCACTCACACAGCAGCACCCGGTCCTCACACTCACACCCTGTTCCCAGCCTCCTAAGTGCCGTCTGCATTAGGTGGGTTTCCCTAACTATTTGCCATCCATTCTGACCGTTTTCCACTGTGTCAGTGTAGGTGACAGCGTACAGAACCTGGTCAGTGACAAGCAGATTCTTCTGATTGTGAGATGGTTTCTGTCCAGCGAGAACGCAAACGCTTGCTGTCTGAGGTGTGGGTGCCATTGCTCTGCAGGGCCCCAGCCCCTGTGCTCCCAGCCCGCGGTCTCATCCCAGCACCTTTCTCTCAGGGACGATACACAGTGTGGGGCCTGCCTGCTCCTCTGACCGTCTGTCATCCTGCTTCTGCTGTCCCTGCGGTCCATTCAGGTTCCAGGTGCTCGTGTGCGTCTGTGTGAGACTCTCTGTGATGTGGGACCTGGGAGAGCTGCTCCGTGGAGGGTGTTCAGGAAACCCTCTCAGGACGCCCTGTTCTGTGACATCCTCTGAGCAACAGGACACAGCGCTGAGAGGCAGTCCCTTCCTGAGAGCGGGACCCCCAGAGACGCCGCTGGTTTAGGGAAATCTGTCTGAGCGCCCAGCTAACGGGCCAGAGCTGGAGAGCGTCCAATGCGGGCGCAGCCCAGCTTCCCTGGGGCCCATGGGCCTCTTTCCCTGCTGGGTCAGGGACCGCTGAGATGCCCCCAAGGGAAAGGGATGTACAGTGAGCACAAGCCCTGCACAGGGAGAAACCAACATGGGTTCCCAGGGTGGCATTTGTCTTTGAATTGTTCTCATCATGTTAACAAATACCTGGAAAGTTATACTTTAAATACCGCTTACCTGGGGGAGCCAGGTGGATCACATCACCATCGCCCATATAGAGGACCCAGTGCGAGGAGCCAGTGCGGGAAATCTCAATCAGGTCTCCAGGCTCGGGCTCTTCACGAAACTGCAAGGAAACAGCCAGGAAAGTGAGACAGATTTCAGGGAGCTACAGAGGCCAGGGCTGGGAGTTGCAGCTGCATCTGGGGGTTTGCTTACTGATGCCCACCCCATGGGAAGAGTGTGTGTGTTTGGGGAACTCATTTCCCCTGTGAGGTAGGCAGCCTGCTGTAGCTTCTAGAGCAGCCGTGGGCAAACTACGGCCCGCGGGCCAGATGCGGCCCGTTTGAAATGACTAAAACTAAAAAAAAAAAAAAAAAAAAAAAAAAAGACCGTACCCTTTTATGTCATGATGTTTACTTTGAATTTATATTAGTTCACACAAACACTCCATCCATGCTTTTGTTCTGGCCCTCCGGTCCAGTTTAAGAACCCATTGTGGCCCTCGAGTCAAAAAGTTTGCCCACCCCTGTTCTGGAGGTTGCCCTGTGAGTAACTGGAAGCCTGGAAAAATGTCCTTGTGCATTGGGAGAGTGAAGATGTGCACAGAATGTGTGTGTAATGTATGTGTGTCTGTGTCTATTTAGCATGGATGTTGTGTGTTGCATGTACATGCACATACACTAGGATGCAGACATGCATATGCAGGTATATTGCGCATGTGTCTGGAGGGTGGTAACACAACAACCTGTATGTAAACCCCCTTCCCTGAAGCTGGGCCCAGGCTCATCCCCCACAACATTGTCCAGGTGAGTCTGAGCTTCTCTGCTCTCACACTCTGACCCTCATGTCTCCATCCTGTGTTTGCCCTGGCTGTGCATGGCCCCAACACCCACCACCTCACACTCTGCCCTCCCAGCCCCGGCACACGGACCCTTGAAGATGCTGAGCTGACAGACAGCAGGTGACAGCACCCTGAGGGCACCTGAGCATTGGAGAAGGCCCTCCTGTTGTTGCCCAGCTTCCTGCCCTGGGCACAGGGCTCACAGTCCCCCAGCAGGCTCTGCGGGCACATTTCCCCCATAACTGCCACCCTCCCAAGCCCAGGGGAAGGAAGCAGCACCCACGTGCTCAGCTGGGGAAACTGAGGATCAGAGAGGTAGAGGGACTTGCCCAGGGACACTCAGCTGGCAGTGGCTGCACTGGGTCTTCTCTGCCCTGACCCTTCCTGGTCCCCTTTCCTCCCTCCCTTCCTGCCTACCTCCTCCCTGCTCCTCAGTGTCCCTGCCCAGGGCACCACAGCTTCCTGATTTGAGAATTTTTCAGTTTATCTTCCTGTTTGTGTCTGATCTCAGCTAACTTCCAGCAGCGCTCACCCCAGGCCGCCCAATCTGAGACCAGGGGCCAGCTTCCCTTTGCCCTCATTCCATGCCAACTTCCAACAGTGGTCATTTAGCCTGGAAGCTTCTCTGGAATTCACTTCTTTGTTGATCTTTCCCCCATGACTTCACACAGGGCCATCCTGTTCCTGATTATGTGACCCCATGTCTTTCTGACCAACCCCCAGACTTCTGTCCCACCCACTCCAGGGCCTGTGTGAACCTCCATTGTGGGCCATTTGGTCCTAAAGGGAAAGGATAGGGGAGGTAGCTTAGTAACTGGGCTCATGGGGACAGAGCTCTGGGGGTGAAAGTGCGAATGGCTCTGTGGTCTGGGCTCTAGCTCTGCAGAGGGAGGTGGTGGCAGAGCTGAGGGGAGACAATGGGAAACCTTGGCCTCAGGGATATCTGTGCTCTGTGTACTGTTCCCAAGTGCAGCCTGGAAACTTCTATCTCCAGCCCCACCTCAGCCCGTAACTGCAGATTCACACATCCAACTGCTATTCAACACGTCCACCTGGATGTCTAACTGGTCACTTCAACACCCCACCTGAGCATCAAATCCTTAACTTCGCTCCCAATCCGGCTCCTCCCCTCATCTCCTCTATCCAGGCTGCCCATCACCCAATCACAGCGGCTGTGGGCCTGGAGGTGCTGTGCTTCAGAGGAAAGAGCCTGGAGCAACAGGGGTTGAATCCTGCTCCTGCCTTTTAACTAGCTCTTCTTTGCTAAGAGGGAAAGAGGAGAGCGGTAAGGATGTGCCCAGACCTTACATCACATGTTCTTAAGCTCTTACATGGGCCACATACCTTGAGCATCCCTTGCCCGAGGGCTCTCTGGGGCCTTAGGAGACCTGTCATGGTCCCGGGTTGGCCCAGACTTTCCCTGACAGCACACAGGGCATCAGGAGCTGCCTTTAGGGTGGGTCTTAGAGGCGAAGGATCCTAAAGGGATAGAGGTGGCCAGAACCCCAGAGGTCCTCCAACATCCCCTCCTTCTGCACATGGGGAAACTGAGTCCAGAGAGGAAGGGACCTGTTCAAAGACCCTGAGTGGATCAGGAACAGACCAGAGATTTCTTCTCAGACATCCTGACTCCCAGCCAGCAGGGAGCAGGGAGCAGGGAGCAGGGAGCAATTTTGTCTCATTTCTGGTAAGTTTTTCTTCTGGATGCAAAGCCCTCTCCTCCCCTGTCCCCCAAGAAGATGTCTAGGAGTGAGAAGGAACCCCCCAGAGAGGGCCTTACCTGCCGGCTGCGGGCCTTGCCGTATCTCAGATCGGTGACCAAGCGCTCACAGTTCCTGCTCAGGTCACTGTACTCCATCTCCTGACCAACCATCTCCTTCCCAGATCTGAGCATCTCCTTTATGGGCCGTGGTTTGTACAGGTGGTCCAAGTGGTTGTTGACCTTATAGGAGCAGTTTCCCACCACTTCCACCAGGAGCTGCCTTTTCACCTCCCCTAAGCCGGTGGGGGCGCCAGCCTCAGAGTTCTCCCCTGGAATCAGACACAGGAGTATCAGGAACTGCAGGGGGAGGCCAGGGAGGGAGAGAGAAGACACAAGACAGGGAAGAAGGGCCAGGGATGACACTATTGACCTTTGCTGTCTGTCCCTTCACCAATGTGATTGGAGGATTCACAGATTTTACTCTTTTTACTAAATGAGCTGTGAATACTTTTCAAGCTAATGAACATTCTGATGGTCAGTGGCTGCTATTGTGCTCCATGATATGAACGGACATCGTCTAGTTGATCATCCACCGTCATTGACCCTTCTCCTTTATGAGACCAGGACACCCAGAGACGCTGCTGGTTTAATGAAATCTGTCTGCCCAGCTAAAGGTCATGGAGCTGGAGAGTGTCCAACGCGGCCTCTGCCCAGCTTCCCTGGGGCCCACGGACCACTTTCCGTGCTGCGTGAGGGGCTGTGAACCACTGAGATGCGTCCAGGGACACGGATGTGCAGTGAGCACAAGCCCTGCCCAGGGAAAAACCGATGGGGGTTCCCAGGGTGGCATTTGGCTTTGAATTGTTCTCTTCATGGTAACAAATCTCTGGAAGTTATACTTTCAACCCCCCTTACCTGGGGGAGCCAGGTGGATCACATCACCATCGCCCACATAGAGGGCCCAGTGCGAGGAGCCGATGCGGGAAATCTCAATCAGGTCTCCAGGCTTGGGCTCTGCACGAAACTGCAAGGAAACAGCCAGGAGAGTGAGACAGATGTCAGGGAGCTGCAGCTCCGCCTGGGGATTTGCTTACTGATGCTCACCCCGTGGGAAGAGTGTGTGTGTGTGTGTGTGTGTGGGTGGAGGACTCTAGTCCCCTGTGAGGTCCTCAGCCTGCTGTAGCTTCTAGAGGTTGCCCTCTGAGTAACTGGAAGCCTGGAAAAATGTCCTTGTGCATTGGGAGAGTGAAGATTTGTACAGAATGTGTATGTACTGTATGTGTGTCTGTGTGTATTGTGCATGGATATTTTGTGTGTTTCTTGTACATACACTCACACTAGAATGCAGACTTGCATATGCAGGTGTATTGTATATGTCAGGAGGGTGTTAACACAACAGCCTGTATGTAAACCCCCTTCCCTGAGGCTGGGGCCAGGCCCATCACCCGCAACACTGTCCAGGTGAGTCTGAGCTTCTCTGCTCTCACGCACTGACCCTCATGCCTCCATCCTGTGTTTGCCCTGGCTGTGCATGGCCCCAACACCCACCACCTCACACTCTGCCCTCCCAGCCCTGGCACACGGACCCTTGAACATACTGAGCTGACAGACAGCAGGTGACAGCACCCTGAGGGCACCTGAGCATTGGAGAAGGCCCTCCTGTTGTTGCCCAGCTTCCTGCCTTGGGCACAGGGCTCACAGTCCCCCAGCAGGCTCTGCGGGCACATTTCCCCCGTAACTGCCACACTCCCAAGCCCAGGGGAAGGAAGCAGCATCCACGTGTTCATCTGGGGAAACTGAGGATCAGAGAGGTAGAGGGAGTTGCTCAGGGACACTCAGGTGGCAGTGGCCGCACTGGGTCTTCTCTGCCCCACCATGGTCTTCTTTCATCCCTTCCTGTCTTATGACCTCCTCTCTGCTCCTCAGTGTCCCTGCCCAGGGCACCATGGCTTCCTAATTTGAGAATTTTTCAATTTAACTTCCTGTTTGTGTCTGACCTCAGCTAACCTCCTGCAGCGCTAACCCCAGGCCGCCCAATCTGAGACCAGGGGCCAGCTTCCCTTTGCCCTCATTCCATGCCAACATCCAACAGTGGTCCTTTAGTCTGGAAGCTTCTCTGGAATTCACTTCTTTGTTCATTTTTCCTCCATGACATTATTCAGGACCATCCTTTTCCCAATTATGTGACCCCAGGTTTTTTTGACCAACCCCCAGACTTCTGTCCCACCCACTCCAGGGCCTGTGTGAACCTCCATGGTCGGGCCATTAGGTGGTGACTGGGGTTGATAGGGGAGGGGGCTACCCTCCTGTGCTGCTGCGGCCAGAGCTCTGGGGGTGAAAGTGGAATGGCTCTGTTGCTCATGCTCTACCTGGGCTCCAGCTCTGCAGAGGGAGGCGGTGGCAGAGCTGAGGGGAGAAGATGGGAAACCATGGCCTTAGGGACCACTGTGCTGTGTGTACTGTTCCCAAGTGCCTCCAGGAAACTTCTATCTCCAGCCCCACCTCAGCCCTTAACTCCAGACTCACACGTCCAACTGCTACCTGGGTATCTAACTGATCACCTCAAACACCCCACATGAGCATCAAATCCCTAATTTCTATCCCAAACTGCTTCTCCCCCGCTTATTCTCCTCCATCTAGGTACCCCTAAGACCCAGTCACTGGGCCTCCAGCCCTGGAGGTGCTGTGGTTCAGCAGGAAGAGCAGGGACCACTGGGGTTTGAATCCCTACTACCTTGTGTTGGTAAAAGGGCAAGGAGGAAGGGGTTAAAGCTGTGTCCAGATCTTACATTATTGGGTTGGATAGAGGAGGAGAAAGCACCCATTTCTTCACATAGTCAGTGAGGATTAGAGAGATAGGGAGACTTGCCCAAGAACACTCAGCTGGAATTGGCTGCACAACGTCTTCTCTTAAGAACCTTCTTGAACCCTTACAGAGGCCACAGACCTTGAGCATCTCTCCTTAGAGGGCTCCCTGGAGCCTTAGCCGACGTGCCATGGTGCAGTGTTGGCCCAGACTTTCCCTGACAGCATACAGGGGCATCACGAGCTGCCTTTAGGGTGGGTCTTAGAGGCAAAGGATCCTAAAGGGATAGAGGTGGCCAGAGTCCCAGAGGTCCTCCAAACATCCCCTCCTTCTCCACATGGGGAAACTGAGGCCCAGAGAGAAAGTGTGCTGTCCAAAAACCCTGAGGGGATTAGAAGCAGACCTGAATTTTGCTCTCAACACCTAACTCCCAGTCAGTGGAACCCCAAGAGCCCATGTTTGCATCATTCAGGGGAATTTTTCTTCTGGGTAGTCAGACCCATTACCCCCATTCCAAGCAGACCTCCAGAAGGGAGAGGGAGCCCCCAGAGAAGGCCTTACCTGCCGGCTGCGGGCCTTGCCGTATCTCAGATCCGTGACAAAGCGCTCACAGGTCCTGCTCAGGTCACTGTACTCCATCTCCTTACCAACCATCTCCTTCCCAGAACTGAGCATCTCCTTTATGGGCTTTGGTTTGTACAGGTGGTCCAAGTGGTTGATGACCTTATAGGAGCAGTTTCCCACCACTTCCATGAGGAGCTCTCTTTTCACCTCCCCTAAGCCGGTGGGGGATCCAGCCTCAGAGTTCTCCCCTGGAATCAGACACACGAGTATCAGGAACTTCAGAGGGAGGCCAGGGAGGGAGAGAGAAGACACAAGACAGGGAAGAAGGGCCAGGGGATTACACTATTGAGCTTTGGTGTCTCTCCCTTCACCAACGTGATTGGAGAATTCAATGATTTTGCTCTTTTTCTTAATGAGCTGTGAATACTTTTCATGTTAATCAATGTTTGATGGTCAGTGGCTGCCACTGTGTTCCATTGTATGAATGGACATCACCTAGTTGACCAAATCCCTATTATTGGCTGGTCCATATATTATCCATTGTAACCAAATTGTAGTAAATTGTATTTGTTCATCTTTTCACTGTCTGATTCAGAAAGAGATCAAAGTTGTTCTACTCCCACTGTGTTTCAGACTCTGCTGTGCAAATTTCATATATTCCCTCACTTATTCTCCTTCTGAATTTCATGGTAAATACTCTAATCTCCGTTCAACAACCAATATTGGACCCTGAGGCATCATCAGCCTTTTCTGGCAGCTCTGGCCACATGGAGAGTCCACACAGCGCTTCCAGCTGGTGGTGTCCAAATCCCATTGAGCCTGGAGCCGGGCTTTGCTCTCTAAGAGGAGGGAACTAAGGAGCAGGATACTACTCTTAGGGCAATGGAAACTAAAGGGAAAATAAACAAATGGGACTACATCAAAATAAAAAGCTTCTGCACAGCAAAGGAAACCATCAACAAAACAACGAGAAAGCCCACTGCATGGGAGAACATATTTGCCAATGTTATCACCGATAAGGGTTTAATCTCCAACATTTACAGGGAACTCATACAACTTAACAAAAGGAAGATGAACAACCCAATCAAAAAATGGGCAACGGACCTAAATAGATACTTTTCGAAAGAAGACATAAGGAAGGCCAAGAGACATATGAAAACATGCTCAAAGTCACTAATCATCCGAGAGATGCAAATCAAAACGACAATGCGGTACCATCTCACACCTGTCAGAATGGCTGTCATCAACAAATCAACAAACGACAAGTGCTGGCGAGGATGTGGAGAAAAAGGTACCCTCGTGCGCTGCTGGTGGGAATGCAGACTGGTGCAGCCACTACGGAAGACAGTATGGAGTTTCCTCAAAAAACTAAAAATGGAACTCCCATTTGACCCTGTGATCCCACTTCTAGGAATATATCCCAAGAAACTAGAAACACCAATTAGAAAGGATATATGCACCCCTATGTTCATAGCAGCACAATTTACAATAGCTAAGATCTGGAAACAGCCTAAGTGCCCATCAGCAGATGAGTGGATTAGAAAACTGTGATACATCTACACAATGGAATACTATGCTGCTGTAAAAAAGAAGGAATTCTTACCATTTGCAACAGCATGGATGGAGCTAGAGAGCATTATGCTAAGTGAAATAAACTAGTCAGAGAAAGATAAATACCACATGATCTCACTCATTTATGGAATATAATGAACAACATAAACTGATGAATGAAAACAGTTCCAGAGACAGAGAAGCATCGATCAGACTGTGAAACCTCAGAAGGAAGGTAGGGGAGGGTGGGGATAAGAGGGAGAGATCAACCAAAGGACTTGTATACAAGCATATAGGCCTAACCAATGGACACAGAAAACAGGGGGTTGAGGGCATAAGTGAGGGGGGTAGGGGAGTAACATGGGGATAAAGACACAAATGGTAATAACTTAATCAATAAAAAATTAAAAAAAAAAGAGGTGAACCAGCAGGCTCCCTTTATGTGCAGAGTCTCGAGGCTGATGCTGCACTCAGCACCCGTCCTTGAGGAAACACCCCCTGCACTCACACAGCAGCACCCGGGCCTCACACTCACGCTCCCTGTTCCCAGCCTCCTAAGTGCCGTCTGCATTAGGTGGGTTTCGCTTACTATTTGCCATCCATTCTGACAGTTTTCCACTGTGTCAGTGTAGGTGACAGCGGACAGAACCTGGTCAGTGACAAGCAGATTCTTCTGATCGTGAGACGGTTTCTGTCCAGCGAGAACGCAAACGCTTGCTGTCCGAGGTGTGGGTGCCATTGCTCTGCAGGGCCCCAGCCCCTGTGCTCCCAGCCCGCGGTCTCATCCCAGCACCTTTCTCTCATGG